GACGACGTGATCCAAATTACCCCCTCCAATGCTCATGACTCAAACGAATATCTGATTCTCGCTTATGCTCTCAATTAATGAAATAAACCACAGGAATATGTATCTACGAATTATTTCAACGAAATGTCTTACTTCTCGTGCAAATAATAACAACAAAATAGTATTAATTTCTAATTGCATACTTCCGGTAAGAAGAAAAATTCTGATTTGTTACATTCCCGTCCTACAACCTGATTTTCAATGTTAGTAAATGTGCAACCAATCAGAATTTGATTTCAAACTTACATTTCTTTTATGTAGAATTTAAAATAAATATGGAAAATGTTACTTAAAAATAAATATATAAATTTCAGTATGATTAAATCAACATTTACTAACAAACTGTGTGAAAAATTGATTGCTTTAAGAAGTTAATGAAAATGATAGACGTGCAAGTGTTAAGAAATCTACATTCACGGCGATACAGCCTTGCCAGCTGTCAGCCATCGATTGTAAGAACTTTTGCTGCCTTAGAAAGCAGTGTTACGCACGAAAACAGTATTTTTGATTTATTGTACCAAACTAAAATAATTTACTCCCGCTTCGTATAAGTTTCACCAGGAATGGATAATAGTAATCGCTACAATATGGTATGTTTTATAAACGATGCAGATCATGATAAATACTCTTCGTATGCGATATTTCATGATAGTAATGAACAGTTTACAATTCGTCTCCGATTGCCAAAGTGTCTTTCATTCAGTGAATATACTTTACATGCTTAAAATAATATTTCGATGGCTTGTAATACAAGTTGTGCGCGGATACTGACATGCAAAAGCCGATAAAAACATTGTCCATACTGACCATCATTTGTTTCTTGAGAACATTTTAACATTACAAATTAATTGAGATAAAAACAATCCTTTGTTTGTTACATTGTCTTAATTTCCTTAACACTGAAGAGCAATAGAAAACAAGATTTTTTGATAGCAACATATAAATCATGTGATCTGTTTGAGTATGGTTGATTTTTTATTGACGATAAATGTTAAAGATAAGAGATTATAATTAAATTTTAGCCTTCACAAATGAACAGTGATTCAAATGGAGAACCATCAACCCAAAATGAAATACCTACATTAACTGTGTCTTTGCCAGTAATGCAAAATGATATAATGAGTCATTCAGGAAACATTGCTGCAGCACAAACTTCAAATGAAAATCGAATGGTATGATACAAATTTCATATTGTATATTTCAAAATTGTTACTATCCAGAGAATTATGGTTATAGGGTGAAGGAGAAGAAATTCCACCTCCCAAGGCAGATTTTTCAGCTCCACCACCCTATGAAGTAGCCACAAAATTACCTAGTTATGAGGAGGTTCAACGTGAAAAAACATTGCAAGGAGAACCTTATCCTCAAATACACATGGTAATAAGTTTTATATAATTATTTTGCTGACAATAATTGTATAAATATTCTCAGAAGTGAGATCTATATTTTACGACTAAATAATATTTCTATAGCCTGGCAATATTAGAACACCACAGCAACCTCTAACAATTCTGGCTATAGACACTGAAGCTGCAGAGGGAGATCCAGAAAGTGGGTTACTTGGTACTGATTTTATGTTCTTTACAGCATTTTTAGGTAAGTTAGAATATTTAATTATGTTATTATACATTGTTCTAAAAAAATGTATACTTATTGCAGTTGCATTTTTGTTTAATTGGATTGGATTCTTACTTTTGATGTGTTTCTGTCACACAATTGCATCTCGATATGGAGCATTGTCTGGATTTGGTCTATCTTTGACAAAATGGACATTGATTGTTAAACATTCCACTGATCTTGCATCACATGAAAATTCATGGTTATGGTGGTTGATAATGGGATTTGGTTTGTACTTTTTTTCATATATTTCATTAAAGAAACAATACAGCTAAGTGTTTGTATATTTTATACTAATGCTAATGTATGATACATTTAAATTTCAGGAGTGTTGATCTGTGCACGAGCAATTGTTCAATATTTGACCATTAAACGTGGTTGGAGACTACTACCAGGAAGTGCTCAGGAACGCTTACTTCTTTTTTATTAAGCTATTAAACCTGCACTTTTATCTAACTTGGCTTTAGAACAAGCAGCATTTCTATCTGGGGTTGTATTTGTACAATATATAATCTACACCCTTTGAAAATATTACTTTACATTGGCTACATACTATTCTATTACTAGAGGAAAAAAAATGATTAAAATTATTGAAACTATTTGCCAAATTTGCTTATATGTGAGATAAACGAGGCAAGGTAAAAACGGAACTACAATAGTTTTTGCACACCATTTTATGTGTTATTATCACATAGATAAAATAAAATGTAAATTTTTATTGCTCAAATAATATTAACAATGCTTTAATATGAAATAATGTTAATTTATGCATTGTTCGTTTAAATATGGATTGCTTCATAACATCTGACATACGTAAATTTATTACTTATAAAATTGGTGTTATAAGTACAAAAATTTATTTTGAAGGAAAAAGTATATAATCACTGTTCTTAAACAGGTATTAAAATATAAAAGTTCTGATAGTGATATTGTGTAATACATTATAGTGTTAGATAAGCTTTTAGAATTTTGATTATATATGATCTATGTACTGATAATCTGAATTGCTTGTTTGTATATTACTATAATTTATAGAGAGAATTCTTATTGAATTTAAAGATATAAGTCAATAGTATAAAGTATACATATGCATGTGTATATTTATATGTATATATGTATACACATACATATTTATATATATATACATACACACACATGAATGTATAGGAAAAATTATTGCGCAGCTATATACATTATATGTTATACTGTCAAGAACTTCATTGTTATATACTTATTACAACAATATAAAAAGTTAATGTGTCTTATATTTTTTTTTTTATCCATAATTATGTAAATATATCTGTTCCGTATTAATTTAAACAGTTTTGAATTATTATGAAGCGTAATGGTAAAATAAATAAAATTAACAATGTTTATACGTAATTATGTGGTCATATTTTTAAATATTAAAACTGTTTCCTTATATGTAATATGAATATATTGTTTGTTTAAATGGTCCCATGGTGTAATGGTTAGCACTCTGGACTCTGAATCCAGCGATCCGAGTTCAAATCTCGGTGGGACCTTCTTCTTTTGCAATTATTTTTTTGCTCTTATAAATCTAAATTGAAACGATGTACGTTAGGGGGCAGCATTACAAACATGACATACTATATACAGTAGTCAGTCAGAAAAACAAAATTTTTAAAGTCACTTCATGTATGGACACATATTAAATAAAATATGGAAGATTCGTTAAAGAATCAAAATACTAATTGCAACAGTAATCCAATTGTTTTTCTAGATATAGCAATTGAATCAGAGAAAGGTAGTGTATAAGGGTTATAATTATGATAGTATATAAGTCAATTTTCAGTTTTCAGTGTTGTGTATTATTGTTTCTTTACATTTCATTTCATCAGAATTTTTAAAATAATTTGTATGGTACTGTGATGCAGTTGGAAGAGTTGTGATACAGCTTTTTAAAGATGTTGTACCTCGAACAGCAGAGAATTTTCGTGCACTATGTACTGGAGAAAAAGGTATTGGAATCAATGGCAAGAAGTTACATTACAAGGGTTCAATATTTCATAAAGGTATAATAAAAAGAATTAACAGTTTATAAAGGTAATGTGAAAAATGACATCCATAATAAAAACATCTTTGCATGGTTCAGTGTTGTCACAGTTTATGATCCAAGGTGGAGACATAATAAATTTTGATGGGACAAGTGGAGAAAGTATATATGGAGCACAGTTTGAGGATGAAAACTTTAACATCTCTCATTCAGTAGGAGGATTGTTAAGCATGGTAAATAAAGGTTATCCAAACAGCAACAGTTCTCAGTTTGTTATTACTATTTCAGCTAGTACACATTTAGATAATACCAATGTAGTATTTGGTAAAGTTTTGAAAGGAATGGGTATAGTATTAGAAGTATCCAAGGTTAAAAATGCAAATGATGTACCAATTCAGGTAAACATACATTTTTAATATTGTTTTTGTATTTGAATCCATGGACAATTACATGTATTCCTTTCATTATAGAAAGTACATATAATTGATTGTGGTGAGCTTAAAGATGGACAAAATTGGGGTATAGAAGAGAATGATAGTACAGAAGACGTATTTACTCCATGGCCAGAAGATTGGGATTATTCTACAGATAATAAAAGACTCAATGTAAGAATCATATTGTAGGCACATATGTTTTTGGAAAAGAATCACTTTTCTAATAGACATTCATGGATATTTATAGTACAAGTATATAATGGAGGTTATTAAGAAGATAAAAGATTCTGGAAATTATTATTTTTTACGAAAAAATTATGTAGATGCAGGCAGGAAATATAAGAAAGCATTACGCTATTACAAATGGATGATGAAGACAACAGATGTACCAGAGTCTTTCAATGAAATAATAGAGAATACTAAAGTGACCCTATTACTTAATCTTGCTGCTGTTAATATAAAAGAAAAAGAATATCGCGAAGCTATAAAGCTTTGTTCAGAGGTAAGAATTAAATAAATGCAATAAGAAAATTTAAACTGTTATTTAATAATGATTTTATGTTTAGGTTCTGCAATTAAATAAAAACAACAGTAAAGCATTATTTCGTAGAAGTCAGGCATACATGGGATTAAATGAATATGATTTAGGTTTGCAAGATTTAAGGCAAGCACTGTTAGAATCTCCTAATAATAAGGATATTTTACTTGAAATTGATAAAGTCAAAAAAGTTATGAATTCATATTTAGCTATTGAAAGGTCTTCTTGTCAAAGAATGTTTAAATGAAAACAAAGTATTTTATAACAAAGTTTGTAAATATAATAAAATTTTTTACATATATATTTTAAATTAAAAAGAATACAAGCAAAATCATTTTTATATAAAACACTAATTATATTTAACAAATATTGTAAATTTCATTTTTATTTTTGTGATAAATATCATTTATTTTGGTTCAAGCATATTTATGATTCAATAACAATCTTTAAGTAAAGTGCACAAAAAGAAACACAATCATAATATATAACATTGTAGTCGTGTGTGTTGAAAATATTATTATGTTAAAAATATATTGTCTTGTATATATTTTGTTAAAGATTGCTAAGTATGAAAGGAACATGTGAAGTATGCTTATATCGCATTAAATACTCATTCTGTATAACAAACTTTGCTTTTATAAATTTAATCACATTAATTAATTTTTGTCATATTTTAGTATGATATATTTCAATACAAAATTTTTGCATATTATAAAAAAAATATAAATGAAAAAAATCATGTATAGAAATCAATTACATAAAAGTAAATACTATTAGAAACAACTATTCGGTGTATGTGACTTATTTATTTAACACTTATATTAAGTCCTTAACAATTCTGAGCATTGAAATGACTTATGTGACCCATTATAGTACAAATATGTCACAAAAACTAAAAATAAAGATATAACTTCAGTAGAAGCTTACTTAGAGTTTCTTTCACTGTAATAGTATTCTTACAGTAGTAGCTATCTGTCGTATTCAAATGTTTCAAATCATAAAACTCAAGTAATATAAAAAAAAATCAATTTTTTTCAGATTAAGAATGCGTTATTTAATAATACAATTATATTCGTTGAAAGGTTTTGTTTATTCGTTTTAATAACACTGTATTATCTATGTAACAAGTTTCAATTAATATCTACAGCAATTACGTGTAGGAGCTTTTGCAGTGACTAGATTAAAAATGTTTTTATTATTAA